AACTGAAAGGAGATTCAAGGAAATGCAAAGAGCTACAGATTATCACAGAGTCTTTGGCTTGAAAGAATTTCTCAGACTTTGGTGATCCAACTGCAGTCATTTATTTCTGTATGTGTGTGATTGCTCTGGGCTTAGGTATTGATAAGAAATTATACATCATCGCTTTTAAGATCATTTCATCTATGTATGTGTGGTGGGGTGTATATGTGTGTATATCTATATATCATGTGTGTATATATATACACACCCACTGTGGTGTGTACACACGTACACACATACATACACACACTTTTGTCATCTTCTGACAACTACTTCAATGTAGGGGACATATTGGCCAGAAGCCACTTCAGTAAAATGTGGCCTCTCTTTTGGTTTGTCTGGAATTGGCTCCATCCTTCCTTGGAGGACAAGAAGAAGGAAGGGAGAGAGAGAAGGCACATGCACCGCTCGGCTCCCCTGCCTTCTCCATCCCCCACCATCACCCGCGGCTCTCCTAACGACTCCTGAGGAGGGAAGGATGGAAACAAGATCAGCTCCTGGCTGACTCAGGCTTGGGTGAGGGGAGCCCATCATGGCAAGAGAGGCTCAGAAATGTTCCAGTATCAAGCGTCATCCTCGCACACCTCCACCTGCCAGACCACACCCCGTGCTCTACGGGACTGTTTCTAAAACCTTCATAATTCACATTTAACATCCTAAAATAGACCCCATAAGCACATACAAGGCCTTTATCACCATATGTTAATAAATATATACAACTAAAATTTTCATAAAATGACACCCTTACTTTGGCATAATAAATTAAAAATATGAAAAAAATAAAACAATGATTTTGTGAAGAACCTGATGTATGCTAATATACCCTATTCTTTTTTATTTTTTTAAAAAGTTGACCTCAAGCCTATAAGTTGATTTTCACTTCTCTAGTGAGTCATGTTTGAAAATCCCTCTTTTGAAGTCATCTCTGATTTCTCACGGCAGTTTCATACGAAGTGTTTGTCTTGACTTGATTCCTCACCTTGCCCTTCTTTGTGCTGCTGAATCTCTTCATGGGGACACTGATTTTGCTGCTTACTGAACCCTGCTTAAGAGGCCTGTGCTGATTCAGAGTTGGGAGCTGGGGCAGGTGCCGAAGTTACACCTGTGTGCATCTTTCATATGCAGATGCAAGACTGGGGAAAGGGCTGGATCTCCTACTGTTTTCTGTGCCAGGGGAAAAACGCCTTGAGCAGCAGGCAGGGTGTGGCAGCCCCAGCAGCCCTCCCAGCACCCCTCCAGCAGTCCCCAGCTACCCCCCAGCATTTCCCCAAGCATCCCCCCAGGACCCTCCTGCAGCCCAGCAGAGAGGAGCACCTGGGACCTCTGGAAAGATGTGTCTGGGGTGCAGCCTCCCATTGGCTGAGCAAGGCAGCCTCATTCTAATGCAGTAACTGTCCACTGTAAGAGAATTTCTGGCCCAGCTGCACATGCCAAGTCTAAGCCAGAGACCAACGAGACCTATGAAGATTTCCTCTCTGGGTGGTCCCCAGCAGCTGGGTACTGTACCAAGATACTGTACCTACGAGCTGCTCCCCTAGAGGTAAACCTGTCCTCCAGCATTTCCAAGTGTGGCTCTGCCCTCCACCCTGCAGGGTGCTGATCCACACTCCTGCTCCACACCCCCTGTGCTCAGAGCTCTTCCTGCAGAGCCGCCTTGATATTTCTGCATACCCTGGGCCACTCTATCTAGTTTACAGGACAGACACAAATGTGTCCTTATTTCAACAGGAATCCAAAAGAGGAACTCAAAGTAGATTCCTGTTTTCAAGTTGTTTTCCTAACTCAAACTCCAAGTTCTTTTTTTGTTTTAAGACAGAGCCTCAAGCTGTCCCCTTGGGTAGAGTGCTATGGCATCACAGCTCACAGCAACCTCCAACTCCTGGGCTCAAGCGAGTCTCCCGCATTAGCCTCCCAAGTAGCTGAGACCACAGGCGCCCACCACAAAGTCCAGCTATTTTTTGGTTGCAGCCATCATTGTTGTTTGGTGGGCCAGGCTGGATTCGAACCCACTACCTTAGGCATATGTGGCTGGCACCTTAGCCACTTGAGCCACAGGCGCCGAGCCAAACTCCAAGTTCTTATAACTGTTTATTTTGCCCCAATGGGTATTTTTTCCCATGTATATGAGTGTGGCTATTCACATTGAATTTCACATTAACATTAGAAAATATATTTTTTAAAGTGATTTCTTTTCTTTCTTTTTTTTTTTTTTTTGAGACATGGTCTCACTCTGTCACTCTGGTTGGAGAGTCATTGTGTCATAGCTCACAGCAACCTCAAACTACTGTGTTAGAGCAATCCTCCTGCCTCAACCTCCCACGTAGCTGGGACCACAGGCTTCCCTCATTATGTCCAGCTAGTTTTTTCTATTTTTAGTGGAGATGGAGGTCTTCCTCTTGCTCAGGCTGGAAATATATAAGAAAATACATTTCCATCCTAAATTGACAATGCAAATATAAGGTTGCCTATCCTTAATCCAAAAATCTAAAATTAGAAATGCTCAAAAACTTGAAACTTTCCGAGTGAGCACGTAACACTCAAAGGATATGCTCATTGGAGCATTTCAGATTTCAGCTTTTTGGAATAAGGATGCTGAACTGATGCTACACACATGAGGCAAATATTCCAAAATCTGAAAAAGTACAAAATCCAAAACTTTTCTGGTCCCAGGCAATTCAGATGAGGGGATATCCAGGCTGTTCTGCTGTTGTGGAAGTTGTTATTATGGCTCAGCTCCCATAGCTCGGTGGTTAGGGTACCGGCCACATACACCAAGGCAGGCAGGTTCAAACCCGGCCCAGGCCAGCTAAACAACAATGACAACAACAACAACAACAACAAAAATAGCTGGGTGTTGTGGCAGGCACTGTAGTCCCGGCTACTTGGGAGGCTGAGGCAAGAGAATCACTTAAGCCCAAGAGTTTGAGCAGTGATGCCACAGCACTCTACCGAGGGTGACATAGACTGTTTCAACAAAAAAAGAAAGTTGTTATTGTTTTAGTAAAGCTGAGTAGGGGGAGGAGGAGATGGCTGAATTCACAGCTAAGGGGTACAGTGCACACTATCCCGGTAGTGGGCACACTTAGAACTTTGCCTCAAACTGCACAAAAGCCATCCATGGAACCAAAACATCTGTACCCCCATAATACTCTGAAATAATAAAAAAGTTATTATTGTTGATGGTATTCATTTATTTATGTAATAAACATTTTCTGAGATTCACTGTGTACCAGGCATCATGATCTAGAGGAGGACGACATGGTTCTTTACAGACTATTGGAGAAGATAGACGTGGAAATGTATAAATATCCTGGTGTGGCAAGTGTCACAAGAAAGGCTGAGTCAAGTGCTTCCCTCTGAAGTAAAGTGACAAACTCTGAACTTGGCCTCACTGAAGAACTAACTGGTGAGCAGAGGCTTGAGAATTGGATGAAGGTTTGAGGAGGGAAAACCCATCTATGTTAAGGTCACAGCACATCTCTTGGGGACACTGGAGCCTGGGGTATGAGCAGGTGAGCAGAGAGGAGACATGAATAGCCAGTGCAGGCTGGTTAGCAGAACCAAGAAGTCTATAAAGAATGAGGTGTTTCAGTTCCAAGTGCACACTCCCTCCTCAGCTGCACACCCCAGGTGCTGCTGGGACCAGGCAGGGGGAGAGCATTGCCCAAAGGGTAGATCTCAAGCTTCCAACCTATCCTCTGCCCAAATGATTCTGCCTTAACCATTTACATATGAGTTTTCATGAGAGATTTTAACTCTGAAAAATATTTCATGAATAAAAAATTAGAAAATAACTGCTATAGGTAATTCAAGTCCAACATATGTTTTAACCCTGCACACGTGTGGCCACATTTGTGTTTAGAAAACATTAAGTGTGCATAGAGGCAGGTCACACAGCAGGTGAGAACATGGATCTTGGTGTCAGACAGTCTGGGCTCAGGTCCTAGGAGGGTCCCTACGTAGCTAAGTGATCCTAGGCAAGTCACCTTGTCTCTTGGTTTGGAGATAAGTCCCTAAGCTCTGGGCTGCTGCAAAGATGACGCAGGTGAAGATCCAGCATGCTACCTGGGGTGTGGAGCATGCCAGGAAAGGCTGGGGCATTGAGTGTCATTAATAAGCCTGGGGGTATGAATAAGTGAATGACAGGGGCTTTGAGCAAGGGTCTGACCCCACTACTGCACTCTTAAATATCAGCCATCAATTAACTGCAGAACAGAAATGGAGACCAGAGAGGCGGAAAGGGGGCGGAAAGCTTAGAGAAAAAGGAAGGGGAGCCACAAGGCAGCAGATCCCAAGCTGCTTCAGGAAACCCAGCAGGAGCTGGGACTGACCTCCTGGGACAAAGAGGTCACATCTGTGTGGCTTAGCCTAAATGGGACAATTTCCCTGTGTCCTCAGGGAGCCTCATTCTCAAGCTCGGTTACCTCATTCTCCAACTACAGAAAGCAAACAGGCTAACGGACCAAAAGAACACCAACCTGAGACCAAGCCCATACCGCAGTGTAACAGTCAGGGGAGCTCCGTCTGAAGAGCACAGAAGACTGACAGGCAGAGGGAACATCCGCCAAGGTGCCCACTTGCCGTGCCCACCTGACCCAGTGTCCGAGCCTCTCCCTCCCTCTGCCTTCCTTTCCTCAGCCCCTTCCTCATCTGCAGTACCCAGGATGAGGTGAGGCTGGAAAGTCGGCAATCCCAGGGCCAGGTGCTCCCGGCACTGCAGAGCCAGGACAAGTGACGTCCCTCCACCCATCCCCACCTCCTGAAGCTGCTTCCTTCTGTATCTAACTGTGCAATGAGGTGGCACAGTGATTCTTGCCCAGGGGACTCTGGCTTCTGCCCTTGTCATCACCCCAGCACCACTTTCAAATATGAAAGTAAGTCCAACCAAGACCCTTCCAGCCCAGCCTCCTGCCTCAGGTGACGGCCACCGGCCAGCAGCTGCCTGAGGGATATTCACTCACCTGGTGCCCACCTACCTCCCTGGGCACAGTCCCCCAGGGCTGCCACCTCCCTCGCTTCTCTCTCCAGCTGCCTAGCAGGGACTGCAGCACCATTTATCCCTGGACAGCCTGTGGCTCAGGCCTGGGTCCGAGCCGGCAAGGAATGAGAAATGGACCCTCCTTTCTCAGCCTCCGAGTCAGCTCCCAGCTCCAGTGGGTGGGATGCTGTGAGTCAGACACTGCATTCACCACCTGCTCTGGACAGGTGACTCAGGGTGAATGTGTCCAACCTGGCACAGATCTGCTCGAAGACTCCCGACCTGAGCCATCTGACTTCTCCACGTGAAAAGGTTTGGTCCAAACCGGGGGCTGCCAACAAAGCAGGCTGGGAACAAAGTCCACCATCTGCTGGGCCTGCAGAGAACACCCGGGAGCAAACCCGGCCAAGAGCCGTAGAGCCACAGTGAGGGGCCCTGGCCCAGCCCAGCCTTCCCTGGCTTCTTTGGACAACATGGAAGTGACCAGGAGAGCAGGAATGTCACAAACATTACTTGGTGCCAACAGCATGCTTGACACGCTGGTAGGAGCCTTCCATAAATGTCATCACACGCCCCTGCCATCAGTGCAGTGAATATGCATACCCATTTTAAAGGCCGAGAAGGCCACTGCACATGTTTTCACCAAGCCCCTTCTATGTGCTGTGCTTAGTGACCCCGGGTCACTGAGCCCCTTCTATGTGCTGGGCTTAGTGACCCTGGGTCAAACAATCATAGGTTCAGCACAGCCGAGCAGCTTCCAAGGTCACACAGCCAGCAAGTTATCAAGCCAGGAGTCTAATCCAGATTCACCTGACCCTGCAGCCCAGGCTCTGTCCCAGCATCTCTTGTCCTGTCTGTGCCGGACTGGCCCAGAAGCAACACTACGGCTCTCAGAAGCTCATGCAACTCAGCGGTTCTCCACCTGGTCCTGCACTTGCTGCATGGCCACCATTGGCCAGAAACGCAGCTCTCAGGCTGCAGCCTAGACCTGCAGATGGGAGACCTGAGGTCGGACAGGCCCCTGCTGCCACCAGCCCTCCTCGTGCCATGGTGCACACTCAGATCTGAGCACTAAGGGTCCAGCTCACATGAAGCACGTTGAAGACCACAGCAGAAAAGGACAGGACACTTCTGTGTGTCCCACCAGCATTACCTCATGTGCCCAGAGTACCTTCCCCTACCCCACATACCTCTCTGTAGAACCTAATCTTGGGTGACATTTAACCCATCCCCCCCCCCACCCCATAAGACATCCCACACATCTCTCCTATGCAGCCTCTGTGAGCTGTTCCTATGAGCCAGGCAGGAACTTTCGTGTGGTCCTCTGTTCTAAAGAATGGAATGTTTTCCAACACTCACCACCAAATGCTTCAGTTTCCTGGGGGCTTTAATGAGTGTGTAGGTGCAAACTGTAGGAGGCCTATGAAATTCCATGTGAGGCTGTGGAGGTCCATCCTCTGATTGAGAACCCAGGCCCAGGATCACGAGGGAGGTGTGGGGGAAGGCAGAATTCTGGGGACAAAGCTGCCTTTGTCACTGGGCATGGAGGACACAGGGGACAGCTCCACATTGCAGGGTTGCATCTGAGTGCAGTGGAGGAATTTCCAAATTGCGGGAAGTGGGGGTTCTCTAAGTGCCGCCTGCCCTGTTCACACCCACAGCTTCCCTCACAGTCGCCTGGACACAGCACAGCCTGGGCAGGCATTGGCCACCACAGCTATCTTTCTCTCCTAGGCCCGGGGAAGTCAGCCCTGCCCTTCCTAGATGTGAGACCAGTGAGGGCCCCACAGCCTCTGTCCTATACCAGGTCTAGCCCCTCCCTTGTCACATGTGCCCAAACCCGCTTCCTGCCTCTCCTTCTGTTTTCAGTTGTCCTTTCTCATTCTCAGAATGTGAATTTATTCCGAAGTGTAGTTGGGACCTTGCAAACCCTTACTGATACAGGGTAGTTTTCACTTCAAGGTGGAAACTCGATCACACCTGTGCCCTTCAGGACTTCTTGCAGAAAAAGAAGAGTCTCCCCTTCAGCCTAACACCAGCTAGGCCAGCTCACTGCCTGCTCAAGACAGGGCAGAAGATGCAGCTGGCAGAGCCCCGCCTGGGTGAGAGCTGGGAAGTCCAAGCACCACTTCGACCTTATTCAAGGCCTTCCTCTGTGATCTGGGCTGTGTCAGCTTTAGTTGTGTACCTTTCCAATGACATTATATACTCCTAGTACACAATGTTATTAGGGAGGGAAATTATAGAGGAGGAAGCAGCCTGCTAACAGCTCCGCAAATGTGTGCTGCTGGACAACTACATGTTCCTCTCATTGTTATTTTAATTTTCCCTTAGCATGAAAACTGATCAAATCTTGCCTCTGTGCGACTTTCCCTGTTGTACTTGGGTGGGTGCGCTTGCACACACACACGCATCTACTTTTTCAAATTTAAGAATAGCTACTATTTGCAGATAGCTTTCCATGTGTTACACACTCAGATGAGCATTTTATTTTATTTCATTCTCTCAGCCACTCTGTTCTGCAAGTATGTTCTATCTTTATATCCATTTTACAGGTTGAGTGACTAAAGCTGAGTGCAAGCAGTGGGTCTTCCTAGGGTGCACAGTGGCTGGGTGGCACAGTGGCATGTGAAACCACATCTGTGTGCCTCCAAGCCCTGCATCCAGCTGCAGGCACGCTGCCTGGGAAGTCTGGGAAGAGGCGGGTGTCTCATGGAGAATGCAGCTTCCAACCCACGGAGCTCTGAAATCTATTCAACAAGATTCTGATGCCTGCTTAAGTCTCATAACCAAAACCCTACATTTTCTTCTGATAGCCCCCTTTCTAATCACAAAAGTAACACATATTTGTTGTAGTAAGTGAAAATATTCAGAAAGGCGAAGAAAAAGCTTATTCTTTCTAAAACAAAACAACAGGGTCAAACAAAATAAAGAGGCTCCGAGTGAACAATATGGAGGCCCCAAGCTCTTGGCTAGCCAGCTCTGCAACCTCAGACAGCTCCCTTTACCTTTCTGGGCCCCAGTTTCCATGTTGACACAATGGAAACAGATAATTCAACAGTCGAGGAATTATTGCACGGGGGTCTGAGCACAGAGCCACCTCACTTTCTTTAAAATGCCTCGGGATTCTGTATGCTGTGAACTTTAGGTCATGAGACCTATGAGATAAAGGGAAATATTGAAAGGAAGACATTTTGATGACATTCAGGACATCTAGGGTAATAAGACAACAACAGCTCTGATAGCCATTCCAGAAAAGGAGTTCGAGGATTGCTCTGAAGGGTGGTCTAGGCACTGGCATCGGTGCGTAGCCTCCTCAGGGGAGTACTTTGCAGGTGACCATAGTGATACTCAGCTGTGAGGTATGTAGCACTCTTCCTAGGATGAGTTCCAGAACTTCAGTGTCTGACCTGGTATATTTTCACAGTGTGGAATATAATTTAACAATTTTAACTAGACCCACAGTATCACCATCTAACTGTAACAAATCCTCTACTCTCAACTAACAGAGAAGATGGAGACCAGGAGAATTTAATCCTCTGCTCTCGTTTTGGATGCAGACACTGAGACCCAGAGAGATTGGATGCCCAAGAAGTGTGTGTCCAAGGCTGTGCAGTCAGGAGCTGTTGGTTTCTTGACTCTGACTCCAGGGCTCATCTTCTTTCCCCTGGACCCACATTCAGATCCAAACCAAAGGTCTTCATTTCATATGAAGGCTCTGGCTGACTTCATGTAGATCATGCTGCTCTTTGTCTGGCCTTCCCTTCTTTCAGCTTGCCCTTCAGGGCTTGTGTATTTTCAATATGGTTTATTCCATGACTAATACACTACCCAGTTACACCAAACAACTGCAGCCAGTCCCACTGGGGCATGTGCCGTGCATGCATGCATGTGGCCACTGACTCCCAAATTCTCCTCTCCAACCCTCATCTTCCCCTGAGTTCTAACTCTTTTTTCCTACCACCTGCTTACATCTTTACCTGGGCTCTAACTGGTATTTCAAAAGTAGCACTGCCAAACACTACTCTTGATTACTGTCCCTCCTGCAACAAAACCTGTTTCTGGACCAGTGTGATGGCTCACTCCTATAATCTCAGCACTTCGGGAGGCTGAGACAGGAGGATGGCTTGAGGCCACAAGTCTGAGTCTGCAGTGAGCTGTGATCATACCACGGCACCCTCTAGCCTAGATGACAGCAAGACTCTGTCTCTGAAAACAGAACAAAACAGAACCTGCTTCTTCCATATCTTGGTGGTTGCTACCAGTGAGTACCAATTTCCCAAGCCAAAAAAGCCAGAACCAAGGAATTAGGACACAGGCTGGGCCACAGGTCTGCCTCTGGCCAGGTGGATGGTCATAGACAGGAGAAAGATGGCTCTGTGGGCTGGTTTTCTCACCGCCAGGGTGGCCAATGCCCTAACTCCTGCCTCACAGGATTGAATGTGGTAATACTTGCAAAGTTCCTAGAAAAGCACCTTTCAGCAGACGCCGTCTGTGAGCGCATCTTTGCCTCCTTCTCTGCCATCCACATCACGCTTAACGTATCAGCGATTCCTGTGGGCTCTGTCCCAGAAGATGTCCTGAACCTGACCACTTTCCTCATCTTCACTCCACTCTCCTGATTCATCTGCCAAAGCCAAAGCCTCTTGCCTGGTACTGTGCTTACTTTCTAACTGGGCTTCTGGCTCCTACTTGGGCCTCCATTAATTCATTTCTACAGAACACTGGGTAGATTTTTTGAAAATATAAATTGGAATGGGACTCTCACCTACATAAAACTCAACGACATTGGATTGTCTTTTAAAATTAAAAAAAAAATGCAGATAAACTTTATTTTTTTCAGAGCCGTTTTAGGTTTATGGAAGAATCGCACAGTTTCCAGAGGCTCCTCTCTCGTCCACAGCCTCCCCTGCTGATCTTGCTCTAGCATGGTCCCTGTTTACAGTTGACAGCCAGTACTGATGCGTGACTAACTAAAGTTATGGCTTACATTGGGGTTTGCCCCTTGTGCTGTACCGTTCCTTGAGCTTTGACAAATGCTTGGTGTCACATGTGTGCCACTGTAGTAACATACAGCAGGATGTGCTACTGCTCTAAAAATGTCCTGTGCTCCACCCCTTCCCAAGGCTTTTTCAAAATAGCTTGCAAATTATCACGTCCCAATAGCTACAAGGGCTCACCCTGTCAACTTCAGCCGCCGTTACCTGTCTTGCTTACTGCATCCCAAAGTCACCTTCACCTTCCTG